GGCCGGAGCGTGATCCCGCCCTCGAGCGACGCGCTGACCTCGTCCTTCGCTGCTGGCATCGTATGTCGACTTCGTCGACGAGAGAACGGCGTTTGCGTTCAGTACCAGACCGTCGCGCGTGAGGAGTGGGGTGGGGTTGTGGTCGCTTTGAACCTCCCAGCGTTTCTTTTTCTTGCGTCTTGGAATGAAGAATTTTAAAGGGTAGCGGATTGGGATACTGGCCCGGGGGGGGGGGCGGAGCACAGAGGGGAGGGGCGAGGCGGCGCCTCGAGGTCGCGCTTCAGGTGCGAGACGTCGGCGCAGAGCACGTTCCCGACTTGCCCCTCCCAAGGCCTCCGCTCCTCGAGGCCCTGCTTGTCGACGGCGTACGTGGTGCCGTTCTCGATGACGACCGACTGCACCCTGGTCGGCCCTCCCTGCGGGAACTTGAGGCGCGTCTTGTGCAGCGCCTCGCGCGCCTCCTCCTCGGTGGGGATGAGCAGCCGCGCCTGCGGCCGAGAGGGGCCACGAGGGTGAGAGGAAGGGGGCGGTACCGCAGAGGCGGGTGGTGTGGCGGTGTCGGTGGCGGTGTCGGTGGCGGCGGAAGTGGTGGCGGTGGCGGCGGAGTGGTGGCGGTGGCGGTGGCAGAGGTGGCGGTGGCGGCGGAAGTGGTGGCGGTGGCGGTGGCAGAGGTGGCCTCCGGCTGGGAGAGGTCGACGATCGCGTTGAAGGCGTGGTCGTCCTCGACGTTGATGACCTCGAGCACGACGTCGAAGCGTGCGAGGTGCGGGTTCTGCGCGCGCTGGGTCACCTCGATGCGCCGCGCCGAGAAGCGCGCCTCGCGCGGCCGCTTGAACACGCGCAACACGCTGCTGAGAGAAGGCACGCTCGGCGGGCCGGGCTTGAGCCCGTGGGCCAGCCTGCGCAGCAGCTCCTCGTCCTCCTTCTCCGCCACGACAAACTGGGAGAGGCCGCGCAGGCCGCCGAGCGCCGCCTCCGCCGCCTTGGCGAACTCCTCCTTCCCCGCCTTCATCTTGACGTACGAGCCGAGCGGCCCGATCGGCGGCGAGCGGAAGGACCTCTCGTTCTTCTTGACGGCGGCGATCAGCTCCGGCATCTGCGGGTGCAGCCGCTTGGAGACGTCGAACGAGTCCCGGTCGAGCCCGCGCCGGTCGTCGGCGATCTGCTGCAGCCTCCGCTCCGCGTCGGTCACCTCCGCGCGGCTTGCCTCGATCCCCTCCATCGCGGCGTCGTGCTGCCGCTTGCTCGCCTGCAGCGCCTGCTGCTTCTCGCCGATCGCCCGCTGCAGCGCGGCCACCTCCTCCTCCGCCTCGAGCCGGTCCCGCTCGAGCGCCGCGCGCTGCGTCTGCTGGTTCTTCTCGAGGTCCTCGAGGTAGCCGTCGAGCCGCAGCTTCGCCTGACGCGCGCTCGAGGGAGGCGTGCGGGAGGGGTGTCTACGAGGCGTCTGCGTCGTGCGTGCGCCGCTCTCGCCTGCGTTATCTGCTCCTCGAGCGTCTGCCCCTCGTCGCGCGCCGTGGTCGCCGCGCGCTGCGCCAGCTTGATGCTCTTCTTGCGCTTGTTCTGCGCCTCCAGCAGCGCCTTGCCACTCGAGGACGCGTCCTGCGCCTGCTTCATCAGGTCGTCCGCCTCGGCCTGCGCCTCCTGCAGCGCCTTCTCCTGCGCCTTGAACTCGTCGCGCGCCGCGCTGTGCTCCTGCGTGTTCTTGCGCAGGTCCGCCTCCGCCGCCGCCTCCGCCGCGCTCTGCGCCTCCAGCCTCTTCTCGCGCTCGGCGATGCAGGCCCACATCGCAACTTTGTTGAGCTCCTCCAGCTGGGCGTCCATCCGCTTGAGCGCCACCGCGCCGTCGTACTCGGCCTTGGCCTTGGCCGCCGCCTCCTCGTACGTGGGCAGCTTTGCCTCGGCCGCCTCCACGTCCGCCTTTGCCTTTTCGATCATCGACAGCGTCTGTTGGTGCTTCTCCTTCATGTCCTTGAGGTTGGACGCCTCGAGGAAAAAGTCGTACAACGTCACCTGAGGCGCGCGAGACGCGGTGGAGGCGGCGGCCGTAGCGGCGGCGGCCGGGGCGGCCGGGGCGGCCGGGGCGGCCGGGGCGGCCGGGATGGCGGGGGGGCCGGAGGCGCGTGCGAGGGGCGCGGGGGTGGAGGCGGGCGGCCGGGCGGCGGCCTCGTTGTTGTTGCCGTGCAGAAACTTCTTGGCGTGCTCCTGCGTCAGCACGGCGCACGGGTTGTCCGCCTTGATGTTGAAGTGCTCGCACAGCCTGGACACCTCGCCCTTGTTCACCTTCATCCGGCCGGAGCCGTCCCCGCGCGAGAGGTAGTACCCGCCGCCGCCCACCTAGCCGTGAGCACCGCGCCGTGAGCGTGACCTGCATCGCGTGTGCGGCCGCCAGGGGCAAGAGCGCACCTTTTCGATCCGGTGCTCGACGACGACCGTCTCGCCAAAGTCGTCGGGCCTGTACGGGTCGCCCCCCCCGTTGGCGATGTGGATCTTGATGCACGCGGAGTCCGCGCCGTGCTTGATGTAGTTCTTGTGCGTGCTCGTGTTCTTGCCGCTCGCCTGTGCCTTGCAGCCGAGTCCCGCCTGCAGCGCGAGCACGACGGCGGACTTGCCCGAGCCGTTCTTGCCGACGATGAAGTTGACGTGGGGGTCGAGCTCCACACGCAGGTGGCTGTGGTTCATGAAATTCTCGACGACCACCTCACGGACGACGCCGTTCTCGTACTCCTGCGGCGCAGACGCAGGCCCCTTCCGCCCGCCACTCTTGCTGCGCTTGGGCGCGCTGCCGCCGGTTTCCCCGTCAGAAACATCGTCAAGGTCCTCGACAGGCGTCGCGGGCTCCGCACGCTTCCGGGGCATGCCGGTTGTTGCCCTTTTCGCGCCGGTGCCTGGCGAGGTACTCCACGCCTCCCCGGTCCCCCCTGGTTCCCGTACACCCTCCCCCTCCCCCGCGCGCAGCGCGGCCTCCGCAGCGGCGCGCAGCGCCGCTGCACCCCGCCGGCGGCGGGAGCGCCGCAGGCGGCTCGACAGAGCCCCTTGCACTAGCCACGACGACACACTAGAGCCGGGGCGGCCTTACGCCCACCTTTTAATCCCCAAACACACGCCACCCCGCTAGTTCTAGCATCGTTCGCCCCGCCCCGTCCAGGGGGAGGATGCCATGCCGCAAAGTGCGCGTCACAGACCTGTGAGCCAGGACGGAAAAGGTGTGAGTGAACGGCGCGCAGGTGGCAAGGAGGGCGGGAGGGCTGGAGGGCGGGGAGCGGTGAGGGCGGCGAGGGCGATGAGAGAGGGGAGGGCCGCGCGCACCCGGTCGGCAGCGACTACTCGCCGCTGCCGATAGTCGCCACAGCGTTGGCGTTGGACTGCACCGGCACTGGTTCGGGCTCCAGCTCCAGCTCCAGCAGCTGCTTTTCATCCATCTTGTCGAGGATCGCCGTGCGCTGCTTGTCGGCGGTGAAGCTCTTGGAGAGCGCCTGCTTTGCGCCCACAGCTTTTGCCAGCCGGCGCTGAACCCTCGTCGTGATCGTCACCTCCCTGTCCTCGATTTGCTCCCGCGTATACCTACCGTACTCCGTGGCTGGCGTGAGTGGCGAGTCCAAAACGGGACGGCGAGTCTGACAAGTTGAGGACCTAATCGCCCGCTGCGACACAGCAAAGTTGTAATCAAAGTCTCGCCGCGACTGCGACGTCGGCTTCACGTCCGCCGCCGCCGGCTCTTGCCCGGCCTCCGCCTCCGGTGACGCCGCCTCCGCCGCCGCCGCCGCCGCCGCCGCCGCCTCCGCCGCCTCCGCCGCCGCCGCCGCCTCGGTCGTCTCCGCCAGCTCCATCAGCGCCACCACCGCGCGCGCATGCTCGCCGTCCGGGTCGGCCGGAGCGAGCACGACACCGCGGCGCGCCTGCTCGCGCGAGGCCGCGCGGGCGGTGGAGGTGCACCTCTCGCAAACCGCCTTGATCTTATCGCCCGACGTCTTGGCATACGCCAGCCCATCAGGCGGCGCGGCGGTCGAGTGGGCGTACTTGGCCACGATCTGCTCATTGTAGAGCTGGGCAGCGCGGTCGTACATCCACATCGAGAGCACACCCTTCTTTGCCTCGCTCGCCTCGCCCATGGCTGTAGTCATCGCCTACCGGACGTGACTCGGTGGACGGCGGTCAGGACGGGCTGCTAGACGCATGGGGAAACGACAGAGAGTACTGCACTTGCGTTTGGGGCTGCTTGGGTGGGGATAGGGCGGGCGCCTGGGTCATGAGCGTGATCTCGGTCTATGCGTCGTCGTCTGAAGCCGCCGCCGCCTCCCCTCCCTCTGCCTGCCGCACCGCGGCATCCACTACTGCATCGGGGATCGCGTAGAGCTCCGCACTAATGGCCGCCGCGCTCGCAGCCGCCGCTGCAGTCGCAGCCGCCTCTGCCGCCTCTGCCGCCGAGTACCACAGCTGCGCGCCAGCGTTCCAACACGCCCCGCACATCCTCTGAAAGCGGCACCTGTCCCCGGGCTCGCGACTGGAGTCGAAGTAGGGCTGGCAGAGGGTCGGCGGGTCGTGTATCATCGACTGAGCGGCACACCTTGCGCCAATGCAAGGGAACCGGTGCTTTGTCGCCTGCAGCGCCGGCGCTCCATAGGGCACGCCGCGCCAGGTGTGCGGCACATATAGAGGAGCTGGGGTTGCTGACGACGTTGCCGCCGTGGAGGCCGATGGTCCGGCGCCCACGGCTTGGTTGGTAGCCATCCCCGCAACCTCGGACGGCGCGGAGGGCAAGCCCCCCGCGCCGTCCAGCACCCCCGTCGAACACGGGGGCTGAGCGTCGAACACGCCCGTGTTCGACGGGTGGGGGGCAACCAGTTCCGGCGCTCCCCTACCGAACCACGCACCGCCCGCCCATGCCGACTTCCGTCCTCCCGCCGCCCTCCCCCCTTCCCGCCCCTCCGCCCTCGCCATCCCCCATCTGTGCGCCCCTCCCCGTCCGCTCCCTCCTGGCTTGTCAGCCGCCCCACCGAGGGCACCATGAAGTGTAGCGATCGCCATCTCGCTGGCCTCTCCGCAAGGCCCCCCGACCGCGTCGAACTCATCGGCGCGGGCTCTCTCGGCTACGGGACCGGCCCCAGCTTCGGCTGAGGGCTGACAAGCTGCCGAGCCCAAATCACACTGTGAGCGTCGTGATTTCTTGTTGGTTTTCTAAAATCTCTCTCGAGTGCAACTGGGGCTAAAAAATCGAGGAAATCCGCAGCGGCCTCCTCCTATGCGTGTTTTTAACTGCCCAGCCTAATGTGGCGAAGCCCGGGGCAAGGAGAAGGAGAAGAAGGAGAACTCCACTCAAAAAAGAAAGTCAGGAAATATCCAAGAACTGCCTCGCTGGTGAGGTCGACCCCACCTTTTTCTGTGCTCTACCGACGGCTGAGCAGCATCAAGCCAGCGCTCGATGGGCGGCTCCCTCGGCAAGGCGGAGCTCGCGCTGCTCGACCATGGCGTCAGGTGGTGGAGCGATCAGGGTGGCGCTCCCGTCTCGTACACGACGCTCGACGTCCCGCTGCACGACGGCGACGGCTCTCACATCCACACTGTCGAGTACTTTTCCAAGGGCGGCCAGAAGGGGGCGAAGCGAGCGCCGCTCGTGTGCCTGCACGGGTACGGCTTTGGCACGGGCCTGTACTTTAGCACGATGCCGTCGATCGTCGGGCGGTGGGGCGGCCGCGTGTTTGCGCTCGACTCGCTCGGCTGCGGCCTGTCTAGCCGGCCGCGCTGGAGGCTGGCGCAGGGCGAGTCGGCCGACGTCGCAGAGGTGGAGGAGTTCTTCGTCGGCGGGCTCGAGCGCTGGCGGAAGAGCATGAAGATTGACCGGATGGTGCTGCTGGGACACTCGATCGGCGGGTACCTCGCCGTCGCCTACGCGGAGCGGTACCCGCAGCACGTCGACCGGCTGATCCTGGCCTCTCCCGTGGGCGTGCCGCACCCGCCCGCCGAGCTGGCGGCCGCGATCGGCGACGCGCCCTTCCTGGTCCGCACGGTGCTCGGCATGTGGAGGAGTGGGTGGAGCCCGATGACGCTCGCCAAGCTCGGCCTCGGCAACATGATGATGCGCGGCTACGTGAGCCGCCGCTTCGCCGACGTGGACTGGATCCCAAAGGACCTGCTCCAGGCGTACCTCTACCAGAACTGGTCGGGCGGCCGCAACAGCGGCGGAGGCTACGCGCACAGCACGCTGCTCGTCCCGGGCGGTCTCGGCGAGCTGGCTTACGCGAGGCAGCCGCTCGTCGATCGGATCCCGCGCCTGCGCGTGGGCCGCATCTCGGCCATCTACGGAGAGTTCGACTGGATGGACCACCGGAACATGAAGGCGCTCAAGACGAGCCTGCTCAAGAGGAAGGCCGAGGCGGGCCTCGAGGCGCCGCTCATTGAGGTGATCCGCGTGGCGAGCGCGAGCCACCAAATCCCGATCGACAACCCGCTCGGCTTTGCGGAGGCCGTCCTCGACTCGTGCAACGACGCGGACGCCGCCCACGGCACGACGGTGGGAGGCTCGCGGGGCGCGATCGGGCGGCTCGTGCCGGGGTATCACTGAGACTCTGGCGGCGGCTCCCGAGACTCTCATCAAAGCTCGGTGCTCCGCACCACCTGAGCGGTGAGATGTGTGTATTTGATACAGTGTTTATGACAACCGATGTGCGATAGAGTGACGTGTGTGGAGGGTCCAGAGTCTGCGCGAATCGGTGATAATCTGTTACAAACGCGAAACGGACGAGACGGTCGAGACCGAGACGCGGCGTTCGCGGAGCTTTCTCGGCTCGCTTTTACGGTCTTTGCCGTTTCCCGTTTGCGTGAATTTGCGATTCGTTGCACGTTGGAGGGCGGGGAATATGGCACTGGGACTTTTCGGTGGTCGAAATGCGGCGGGGCGGAGATGCGTCCTCTTGTGGGACGCCCATTGGGACGACCTGACTGACACCCCTGTCGCCCAGCCCCTTGGCAGCGATCGATGCCGGCGCCGGAATGCGGCGGCGGGAGGCACCACGAGCGCAATGAAAAAATTGTAACAAGTGGAACTGCGTTCATGCGGTTCTAGATGGGGCCTACATGATACGTCCATGATACATACATGATACAGGGTGCGAGGAGGCGAGATGCGGGGGGCACAGCTTGGACGACAGGCGCGCAAGAGACAGAAGACTAGGTCCAGCCCTGGGTGGCGCAGGTTGTGACATTTGGCGATTCCGCGACTTACTGGGCCCCTGAGCCGCTACCCGTGTGCGATTTTTTGTGGCCCGGGCATGATACTGATAGTAAACGGGTCAGAACCGGCCAAACACAGGCTACAGCCCCACACACGCGCCCGCCATAGCTCCTGGAGAGCATGCGCGAGTGACGCGCTACAAGCCGCGAGAGTGGCATCAGAGGCAGGAACGACGTGCTCTTGCTGCACCTCGCAGCTGCACCGAGTGTGCTCGCAGTGTATGCCACGGCCACCGACTGCGGCATTGCTCTCGTGCAGCTAGGCGACGCAGGTCCATCAGCAGGGCTCATCCAATGCGAGCGCACATTGTGCGTAGCCGCAGGCAGGTGGCAGTGCACGGCCGCACACCGGCTGTGGCGGCTCGTATGCCCCCGGCAGTGCTGCTAGTCATTAACTTGCGTATTAGGGCCGCAGCAGACTGCTGCTGTGGCAGCAGCAGCAGCAGCCTGCTGCCTGATTCAGTCAAGCCAGCGGCGCAGCGAGGCGTGCAGAATTTGCGTGGTTTTGTTCCTCCTGAGGCTGAGCGCATTCGAGCCCTTCGACCGGAGTTGGATGGTACCACGCGTCTCACTGAGACGCGGGGTACTGGCCATGGCCGGACTACGGAGCGTGAGGTGGCGAGCGGAGCGAGCGACAAAACAACGAGAAAAACACGGATCTGACGATTGTCACAGAACGTCAGATCTTGCGCCACCCAGGGCTGGACCCAGTCAGAAAGCCAGGGAACAAAGAGGAGGCAAGTAGGGGGGGCGGCTCGTAACTGAGGTTCGCCTTCAGGGACAGCCGCCTCCCTGAGTGGTGCTTGTTGTTCATAACGCTACTTACCTGTACTTGTGACCACGATCGATGCGAGGACGCAAGTCCACACCAACCTCGGCCATTCCAACGGCCAGACCGCTCGCTTAAGGCTGATTGGCTAGACGAGCGGTCTACCCCCGACGGGGCGGTCTGGATCACGGGGGATGACATCCTGCCTCCCGGCACGCCGGGAGGAGGTGGGTGCTCCGCCGCCAGACCCCCCCCTCTCCATCACCCTCGCCCAGGGATCTACAACGCTGTCTTAAGGTCCGACAGGTTCGGCACCGGGCACCGCCTCGGTATACAAAATGCGCCTGCGGGCGGACCCTTACAGATCACAGATCACATGATACAGTATCAGTTAATTCTAATATAGTTAACTAGTTTGAACATAAGAAGGACGGACGGACGGAAACCGGATACGCCGATGACTTTTAAAGGACTTGTCCTTTACAAAAGGACACCTTGATCTCGCGTTTTCGCTCCCATTGAGCTCTCTGCAAGCCTCTCCTGGGCATTGAGGTATGCTACCATGTCCACCTGACAGCCTCCAGGCGGTGGGGTCACGACCCAGCCCAAGCAACACATTCAAAACCGACCCGGAGACGTACCCGCAACCGTTTGTCCTTTACGCCCGCTAGTCCTCATCACTGTCCACAATCACCTGCCGCTTGCGTAGGGGGGGGGCTGCAGCCTGGGAGGAGGGCGCAGCAGGCGCTTGGCACCTTTGGACACGCGCCCAAGCACTCCCTTCACCATCTTCTTCACTATGAGCCCGCCCGGTTTTGAGCTTGCGTCCCAGTCGCTGCAGCGGCTCTGTCAGCGGACCAATCTTGCGGTAGCGGCGATCAATTGCGTGCTGCTGCTTGGCGTTGCGCCTTCGGGGAAGGATGTGGTCCTCCTCTGTCAGTTGGCTGTTGGTGGTGAAGATGCGTGGCATGTACTGCGGGAGGGTGCCGTTGTTGTAGCGGCATTTGATGCGCTCGCTTGGCGGTGAGCTGGCTCAGCACGTCTTCATTCGAGAGCTCGCCGCGGCCGAGTGCGGCGTACGTCAGGTGGTACTTGCGGGCGGGTTGATGACGCTCACGTCGGCCGGGGCACCACCCACTAGCTGCATGATCACCGGCGGTCACTGGTCACCGATCACCGGCCTTTGGAGAGTTCTCTGTAGCCGGAGGGGATGTTGACCTTTAGCTGTTGGGGCCACCCTTCCGCTTTGGTTTTTTCCCCACAGACCACTCGGGCAGCTTTTACCAAATGCCAAAGTTGCACTTTACCACTCGGGCAGATTCGATTGGATTTTACCACGGGCAAACTCGATGAAACGGCGGACGGAAAACGCCTTCGCGGCCGCTCGCCGGAGAGCTATGCATGAAGCGGCCGGCGCCGCCGCAGCTCACCGATGGAGCTTGCGCCGCGGCTCAATCCACTGGCGCAGCAGCATTGCGACACATTCTCCAAGCACGGCCTCTGGCGTTGCGATTGCACAGAGAGCGAGCAATAGTCGCCAAAAACACTGATCTGTGTGCAGTGGATCTCCATGGCGGTCGCGCCCAGGGAAAGGACAACCGCGGGCCTCGAATGCTCGCCCGGACGCGGACCCACCGTGCGAGTTGCAGACCCGGAGGTGGCCGACCCAGCTCACCCCCAGAGAGGCCATGCCCAGGGTCAGGCATAAAAGGGGGGTGTTTTTCCGCCCGTGCTTGTTACTCAAGTGCTCAAGTTTGGCGCAGGGGTACACGATACACACATGGTACACATGAATCGTCGCGTGGTGATACGCATGATGATACAAACACGTGTATGATACAAACAACAATGATACGTATCGGATAACAACCCCCCCCCAATCTGATAACAAACCCTTACAGTTGAAAATTGTGGAGATGTGGACACACCGGACATACATACATCGGCACAAATTGGGGTTGGTCACTCACGCACCCCACGGACTGCACACGACCTCCTGAGCACAGGCCACAGAAATGCCGAAACACCGTCGCCGCAATCGCCCGTTCACACCCCACGCAAGTCTCGAGGTCCGGGTATCCAGGGCAAGATGACGATGTTCGGGGACATTTGGACTGGCGACCGGCACGCGGTGGGCTTGGAGAAGGCGCAAGGGTTGATGCAGCGGCAAGTGCAGCGTGGCTACCGAGCCGTGCGGTGAGTGTGCCATGCCGCCACGTCTCTCCTACCCCTCGCCCCCGCGGCAGAAGCACCCGGGTGGTCCAAGGGGTGCTAGAGCCCAGCGTCGGAAACTCGCACACGCGCACGAGATTGAGCGGCTCAGAGTGAGCCGCGAGCAGCGAGAGAGAGCGTGAGACTGCGAGCGCGCGCGGGTCGCGACGGACCGAGAGAGCAGAGTGTGGTGACATTCGTACCTTTGGGACTCGATGGGACTCGGTGCACGGCGTGGAGGAGGCAACCGAGGCCCGTGCCCAGTACTGTGGACAAGCGCTGCGTCTTGGGACCCGGGTTTTCTGTGTTTCAGCCGCCCAACAAAAAGAAAAAAACGGCAATTTTACACACACACACACACAGGGAAACGCCGGGCTTCACAAAAAAGAAAATGAACCAGGCCCGTCCTCGCAGCCCTCCCTTGGCATGTCTGTTTTCTTTCTTTCTTTGCTTGCTATAAACTGGGCCAGAACGTCGGCCCGCGAGGTGGATGCTAGCATGAGCCCGATGAGTCGCAGTGCTCTTGCGTTTCGGCGGTAGTGATGTAATCGAATGCCACGTTCGGATCGCTCCTCATCGCAAACCCCGTCAGCAGTCCTCCTCCGGGAATGTACGTAAGAGCTACATACACTGAGAGAGTGTTCTCCCAGTAAGCTAAAAGTATACACTGAGCGAGAGAGATAGGGTGCCCACAGGACCCAAAAGAAAATAGCTTTCCTGCTCAAAAAGGGACGCACGAGGCAAATCTGATGTTGGATTGTTCCAATAGGAGAGAGGCCTCTTCCGTTGGGGGACCGAGTTCATAGGAAACGAGGGTTTCCCATTGTGTCCCGCTCCAGCGCGAGCGTGACACTGCACTTGGCGCCGAGCGCCCGCGGCTCAGACCTTGTGCAGGCCTACCCTCGGTGGGAGCACCGGTCCGGACCGATGGCGCTCGGTGTGGAGCAAGCAAGACCCCCCCCCCCCCCCCCATCGGCGCGCGCTCGCCATTCCAACGGCCGCCAGGAGCACCAAGAGGACTCCTCATGGCTGCTCCCAAGTGGGCTTCGACCGGCCTCGGCTGTGGGGGCGGGTTGTCCCGGCTGCGGACGCCTTCTGCAGCCCCCTGGGATGGGGACTGCACCCCAAAACTGCCCCACGGCGGCATACAGCACTGCCAGCCAGCCTCTTCCTCCTCCTCAAGGACTGCGCCCCCCAAAAACTTCTGCCTGTCCCCGCCCTGTCGATTGATTGCATGACAGCCTCCCATTCATCCTCCTCGATGTCGACGTGCCCGAGCGTTGTCGACCTGATGCTCGCCGCCTTCCCCGAGGAGCTGAGCGTTCAAGGTGAAGCAGAAGAAGGTCCTCGTCCTCAACATCAAAAAGGTCACCGTCGCACTCCGCCTCGCTGCCAAAGAGCTCTCGATCGGCAGCGTCGAGGGCTGCCAGCTCGCTCCCATCGAGATCGCCCGACGGGCGGCCGATCGCGATCCGTTCTTCCAGCTGGTCGAGATTCATCGCGCCGTCGTCGACGAAATCAGTCGCCCGCCTGGAGCTCACACGCTCCACATCCGCCGCGAGAAGACTCATCACAGCATTGTACACGGCGCAAAGACGATTGAGCTCAGGCGCGCGGACGGCGCGTTTGCAAGCATCCGCGCGGGCGACACTGTCACGTTCACTCACACCTCGCGCGAGGTGAAGACGACTGTGACGCGCGTCGAGCACGCCGAGTCCCTCGAGCAGCGGATCCACAGCTGGCGGCGCGCAGCTGTCCCAACAGCCCACACCGATAACGAGGCCATCTCGTACGTCGCGGAGGTCCTCAGCCCGCGCGTACCTGTCCTCGCAATTCACTTCATCACCGCCGAGAACGCGTTCCGAGCTGCAGTCATGCACCACCTGCAGCAGAACTTTGCAAACGCAGACGCCGTGACTTCTGAGGCGTTCACGGCGACCCGCGCCGGGGGATGCAAGTATGCCCTGCTCGCAATCCTCAGCAGCAGACGGGGGCGGATTCTACACAGCGCGACGAATTGCTGCACCGGCACTTCCAGCGCCGGGGGGCACGCAGAACGCCAGGTGCTGGACGGCTACCTGGAGTCTGACCGCAGACTACCACGCGCGTGCGTTCGCAATCTCACGCTCACGGTGCTGAGATTCGATGCAAAGGGATCGCTTGCAATGGCTCGGCCGTGCGCCGAGTGCTGCAAGCGCATCCGCCGTGCTGCGGCGCACGTAAAGCGCGTGCGCTGGTCGACTGGGTGTGGAGAGGACGTCGAGTGTTGCAACAGCAAGTGTATCGAGGGAACCCCGACCCGATGGATGCAGCAGCATATGTCGGGGCACACGCCGAATGGACCCTCGGTGAAGTGATATCTCCTCCGTGCCGTGTGTGCCCCACACAATTCTGATATCGAACGGCATGTGAAAAGTGTAGCTGGGGGGGGGCGCGGGCGTGCAACCGGAACCGCCCGGACATGTGCGTCCGAGATGGGTGCCGGATAGTGGATTGGGGGTCTGCGTCTGGGGGCGGTTGCCCCTCTGGAGACCGCGCAGGCATCGAAAAAAATGGGTGGGAAGGCGGTTTCACAAGCATTCTATACAGGGCGGGGACCTGTTCCTTTTTACCCATCTCTCCTAGTAGAGGTGTCCGTTTTATTTATTTATTTAAGCATTCTACATGAAACCGCCCCCACCCATTTTTTTCGACCCTGCTCCAACGTAGTACGTACAGGGTGGTGCCCTTAACCCTTTATCATTTAGCCAAACATGCAGAGAGCCCCCCGCGAAGAGGAGCCATGAAAAAGAATCCCTGGTGCCGACGATTTTTTTCGCGGTATCCGCGGCGGGATATGGCGGGATATGGCGGGATACCGGGAGATACCGGGAGATACCAGGAGATACACGTGGATATGATGAGATACGGAGCCCCCACGATGTGTTCACGACAACGTCCGTGAAGCTAATCGGAGCGACGGGCGAAACTTCGCGCTTCGACCGGCCGTGATCTGCCGTGCGGCTAAGCGCTCGATTCCCATGATTGGCGAGAGCTCGTCATCATCGATGAAGCACCGCAAGGACAGCCTTGATCGCCGACCAGGAGGATGGTCACCTGCAGCCGGCGGCCTCAGTCGGTCGGGGGGGAGCGGGGGGCCAGGCTGGGCCGCTCGCGGGCGCACAGGAATCCGGCACTCGCGAGGGAGGCGCTCGATGCTCGCGCTCTGCGGCCGGAGCGCGGAGAGGCCGGGCTGCTCGGCGTGAGGCGGGCAGGATATGGCAGGATATGGCAGGATATGGCGGGATATGGCGGGATATGGCGGGATATGGCGGGATATGGTCAGATATGGTCAGATATGGTCAGATATGGAGAGATACATCAAGATACCGCCAAAAAATCGTCCGCACTAGGGCTAAAAGACTTGGGTCGCGCTCTGAGCGTGCTGGCCGCGCGTCCAAGCTGCCATCAGGACTGACATGGAGCCTCGGAGAGCCGGCCGCCGCACATCTGCAGCGACGGAGAGCACCTCGGGTTGCGGCAGCGCAGTGCCTGGAGCTGCATGCGCTACACGATCGGCAGCGACGGCAACGCAGCGGATGGCATCGGCGGCAAGGCGCGTCGAACATTTTGAGAGGTAGACCTATTGTTTTGTGAGTCAGAGCGAGCTTAGAGGCCAGTGGTGTCGTGGTTCGTTGTGCCCATGCGTGTCGGATAGCGACGCTGCGAGACGTGCGAATAAGGTGGACATCAATTTTTTGGGAGATAAAACCTATACTTCTGGGTTTTTCGTGGTCCTTAGGGCCAGGACCGGATGACATACCAAGTTTCACGTAAAGCCATGAAGATAGGATCTCAGTCTGAGTCGCCGTCGCGGACAAAGAGCTTGAGGCGGACCTTGTCGACCTTGTGGCTCGCCATTGTGAGCCTGAGGATGTTGCTGTGCACCTCGGCGTCCGCCTCGACGTGCTCCATGCTCTGCGGCGCGCGAGCAAGCGTTGCAGCGAGATAGAGCGCTTTGGCGACGCAGATGGGATGGAAGTGGGTGTGCCAGACGTGCCGGGCACCCGCTATCACGTGGAAAGGTGTGCCGAAGCTGTGCCGGGCACTTGCTATCACGTCCAACCAGACGGCGATAGAGCGTTTTCGAGCACTGGCTCGCACCAGTCACCAGAATACCCTGGTACCAATGCAGCGAGCGGCCGCGGGTGCGAGAGCGTGGCGAGCTGACGATACATACACGCTGTCGGCGGAGTACGATGACGAGGGCGTCTGGGTTTATCAGGCGTACAACGAAGGCATCGCGGACTGGGCGGTGGAGCACGGCACCCTCGGCGGCCCGCTCTTCAATACGACGAGGATGACTTGGATCAAGCCTTCGTTTGCGTGGATGCTCTATAGATGTGGCTACTCGGCGAAGCACGGCCAGGAGCGCGTGCTGAAGCTCAAGCTGCCACACAGCGAGGTGGCGTCGCTGCTCGAAGCGTGCGCCTGCACGCACGGTGGCGGCGGGAGCAAGGGCCGTGTTCAGTGGGACCCGGCGCGATGCCTTTACTCAAGCGAGGGAAAGGGCAAGTCCACGGAGCCTCGCAAGATGCTTCGAGAGCGTGCCATCCAGATCGGCCTCTCGCGCGAGCTCTCCGAACGCTTCGCGCGCTCGATCCTCGCGGTTGTCGACGTGAGTGCCCTCGCGCGTCGCGTCGGCGATGCCCACCAATCGAAGGACGTGCGCGCTGCAATGGAGGTGTTGCGCGCAAATCTACCGACGGAGCGACCGTACATGCATTGCGAAGGACCTTGTCCGGCTGCGCTTGATGCAACCAGAGGAGCAGAAGCTCGCTCCTGGACCGATCCAGGGCCGTGGCGAGGGCGGCGGAGGAGCGTTTGGCGACGAGGACAGCGGAGGAGATGGCGACGGAGGCGAGGGCGGCGGTGAGGGCGGCGGCGGTGAGGGTGGCGGCGAGGGCAGCGACGGCGAGGGAACGGCCGAAACGAGCCCGGCAGTCAGGTCGTCGGCCGACGGCAGCAGTGGTTCAAAGCTGAGCAGCCCGCGTTGGCCTCCGCCAGCATGGGAAGCGAAGCGGCTTCTCGCGGCCGAGCAGTTCGTAGCGAAGATGCGGAAGCACCCGCAGTTCAGTGCTGTGACAGAGACAGAGGCACACGTCTTCTTCTGGAAGCCTCTCAGTGCGTTTGATCAGTGGTCACCGTGCCGCTTCGAAGTCGATGGGCAGTGGTACAACTGCGCCGAGCAGTACATGATGTCAGAGAAGGCGCAGCTGTTTGGGGACATGCATACGCGCGCCAAGATCCTCACTGAGCTCGACCCGGCAGTGCAGAAGAGGCTGGCGAGCGCCAAGGGTACACTGCGAAATTTCGACGAGTCCACATGGGAGAGAGAGTCCTTGCGCATCGTGACGGCAGGCAACCGGGCCAAATTCGAACAGAATGCCGAGCTCAAGGCCGTGTTGCTCGCCACAGCAGGCAAGCTCCTCGTGGAGGCGAGCCCGATGGATGCCATCTGGGGGATCGGGCTTGGGGTTCAGGAGGCACTGGAACGAGATCCCGCCACGTGGCCGGGGAAGAACCTACTTGGACAGGCGTTGATGCTCGTGCGGGAGCAGCTCCTCCGCGGAGCCCCATAGCAGGCTGTTTACAGGGTCAGGCACAGGGCCGCGGTCGCGGTCGCGGTTGCAAATGTGTGCAGCAGCGTGTTTTCGCGGGCATCGCCGGGGGGGCGGCGCGGTCTCGCGGGTCGGGCCGTCGGGGTCGCGCTGCCGCACGGTAGCAGCAGTGTTCGGCGAGTGCGTCTCGGGCCCCAGGAGTATAAAGCTGTGAAATCTTGACGCGGGCCGACATGTACAATCATGTAAGCTAGTATATGTAAGTAACCGCAGCGAGACGCGCGGGAGCCCCACCGACGATCGAGAGGTTCGAGAGCTCTTTCGAGGTGCAACACCTTGGGGCGTTCGAATCCACAACATATCGCACAAATTCGCGCACATCAATCCCTGTGCATCACACGCCCCGTCCCACGATGGATCCCAAATATACCACAGCGCGCGGGTCCGCCGACTCCGCTTGGTGCCAGCCCACGCACGGCTCTCGGCCGCCCTGCTCCCTCGGCCCCGCGCGGCAACCCTCCCGAATACCACGGCTGCCCCTCTCCCTCGCCCCGGCACTCAGAAGCCGCCCGCTGGCTGCGGCTGCGCAAAGGGCGCCCCGTTGGGCTGCTCGGGGAGCACGCCCGGGAAGAGCGACGTGAAGAAGGCCAGCAGCGTCCCTGACACGGCCGCCAGCGCGCCTCTTGGCTCCTCCTCCGCCCGCGCCGCAGCGGCGTCTCCGCCAGCCTCGGCCGGCCCGCCCGCCGCTTGCGGCGCGGCGGCAAAGTCTTCGCCGCCCTCTCCGCCCCCCTCTCCACCCGGCCCCTCCTCCACCCGCCCTCTTGGCGGCGGCGGCGCGGGCGGCGGCGGCGCGGGCGGCGGCGGCGCGGGCGGCGGCGGCGCGAGCAGTCTCACCACGAAGTTGAGCCGGCCTGCGGCAGGGAGGAGGGAGGGTGGGGAGGGGGAGGGGTGGCGGTCGCGGCGCGGCGCGGAGCCGGGCGAGCCAGTTTGCGCGAGGAAGATGAGGAGCGCGCATCCGGACAGGGTTGCGATGCGGTGCGGTGCCCCGTCCTGCGAGAGGACGTACACAAAGAGGGCCTACGAGCAGGTTGCGAGAAGGGTCGTGCAAGGCTGCAAGGCAGCTCCTCCTCCTCGGCGGAAGGCGGAGAGGGCCAGCTTGAGCGCCAGCTTGAGAGAGTGCACCTCCTCCCCCTCGCCTCCCCCGCCCGGGTCAGCGCCCTCGCCCCCCGCGGCGGCGGCGGCGGCGGCGCCACCGGCGCCACCTGCACCGGCGGCGGCGGCGGCGGCGGCGGCGGTGTCCTCCGGCGGGCGTGCAGACGCGGCGGCGGGGTCGGTGGGCGCGACCACGCCGAGGCTGCTCCCGTGCGCGCCGTCTGCGAAGAGGCCGAAGGTGTGCGGGAGGAGGGGGAGCTGGAAGACATACGGCTGGCCGCCCCACTCGACG